ATTAGGTCCTATCTTTGTTGTATTTAACTACATTTTCTAAAGCAAGGTGTGTGGTTTATTAATCTTGGAGAGACTTCCTAAACAGACAGAGGTTTGTGGGTTATTAATCCTGTTCTCTAGTGTCAGCCACTGAGTGAAGCTCCTCAATAGATACAACCAACCTATGAGAAAACTGAGGCATAAAGACTTTAAATAGCTTTCATTACGATCACATTCCTGGTAAGTGGAACCTTGTTAGACTTTGCATTCTACAAAGTCAAAGTAAGATTAATTTATGCAAGGTATCATAGTCCTATTTCCACTTTTGAGAGACTTTTTCATTGATATGACAAAATTTTTAGTTTTCTAGAACAAAAGTACCAAGGTAACATCATTATATTAACCATTTTATGTTTTTAAGAAATTCACAACCATGTTTTATGGGTCAAGATACATACATAGGTTTTATAAAGAACTTTTTATGTATGCAACTCAAGAGTTTTCAATTTGGTAGAAATATAAAAACTTTATTTTAAAAAAATACCTGTCTGAGGAAGCAGGAGGCTTTTCACTTTATGAAGTTCAGTTTATTAGCATATATGCCCACCACCAGTGAGCTACCTATCTGCCTGGCTTCTCTCTTTGCAAGTATTCTGACACCCTGCTGTGCAGCTGTATTTAAACCCCCCTATTCTCCTGATGTGCCAGGATGCTTCCTATCTCTGAGGCTTGCTTCATACCTACCCTAGTAATGCCCTTTTCTCTGTTTTTTTCCCTGTGCCATAGATAGATAGATAGGTAGATACATACATGCATACATACATACATACATACATAGAATTTTTACCTTCCAAGGCTAAAATCAAGCAGCATCTGCTTATGAACTCTTTCCAGTCACTATTGCTTCTGCTCATACCCTGGAGAACTCCCTCTTGTACCCTGTAAGTGCTCCAAATGTAACAATCATCACCTTTTATTCCACTCATTACATGTCTTTCTCTTCCATTAGGTTTTCAACTGGTAGAGGGTCGGGATACCATGTCTAATTGGCACCGATGCCCCTACATAATTCCAGGTGCTTAATAATATCTAATAAGGTGCTTAATAATATCTAGTTATAGTCAGGGGTATTTTTCAAAGTCATCAACAGCCATACTGAACAAGAAATGGCCAATCCAAACAGGGGTTCTTTCAGACGGTCATAAGGAGCACCATATTAGATGACTATCACCTCATTAAAGTTTGCTTTTTTCAGTTTTATACCTTCTTTATTATTTCAATTTTGTAGATATGTAAAATAATATATAGCCAAGTGATTTAAAATATGTAGTTCTTTTCACTGGAGAACATTATGCTCAGTGAAATAAGCCAGGTGGTGAGGGACAAATACCATATGATCTCACCTTTAACTGGAACATAATCAACAAAAGAAAAAAGCAAACAAAATATAACCAGAGACACTAAAATTAAGAACAATCTAACAATAGCCAGAGGGGAGGGGGAAGGGGACAGTGTGGAGAGAAGGGTTTTCAGGAACTACTATAAAGGACATGTGGACAAAACCAAGGGGGAGGGTGGAAGCAAGGGAGGGAGGTGGCTTTGGAGGGGAAGAGGTGGGGAGAAAATGCAGACAACTGTAACTGAACAACAATAAAGTCATTTAAAAATATATATCAAAAATAAATAAAATAGGTAGTTCTTTTCAGAACCCAATTTCCTAAAACAGTTGTGTTCTATATTCCCACCATGTGAAATTCCATGATAAAATCTTACCAGACCTTCATATTAATGCATATTCCAAACCATTTAAAAGAGAATTGCTTTTTACCTTCAGAATTGGTGGTTTTGACATTCCCCATGTAGTTCTATATTGTGGGAAGTATAGACACTAAAGCTGGATCACTGAAAACAGTGACGTTATAAACCTTATATTGAGAGACTATTTATACATCAGCCAGAACTGTCTTAACCCTTAGTAAATGTTTAATAAAAGTCCATGAACTGTCAGCTTATGTCCCACATTATTTGAGGTGAGAAACCACCCTACAAGACAAAGCAACCATGGATGCAGGTCGGAAAAGAGCACAACTGCTCAACGAAGGTGCTTGTTTTTGATTTAGGGATATACTTTTCTTCTTCTGAAGACACTTAACAAGAGTGGAGTTGAAACAAAAGTGGATAAATAGTATGGTGATATTTTCTGTGATTTTCCAAAGAAAGATATATTGATAGAGGGTTTTTTTAGCCATATTATGAGACAGTGCCTTTTAGAATTTTAGCATGAAGGACCACAAATCATCTCAAATGCTACTTAATCTGTAGAAAGTATTTACAACAATCCAATGCCCCCTAGAATAAAAGAGAACATTTAATGTGGCAGACCATGATGGAGGGGAGGCAATAAAAGAGAAGGCACAGCTTGAAGTGCAGTGGAACTGGGTGACTTACACCTCCCTGCTGAAAGCAGCAGACTTGCAGTTACGGAACTGCTAATCTGTTCTACTGTTTTTTAATCAGATGTTGGCATTATCTGCCACTAATTGCTTTTTCATTTCCACTTGTAATTATTCCATTGCATGTTTGTAGTGAGAAAGCTGAAAATGAGGCAGATCACTGAGAAAGAATTAATTGTTAATGAATAATCATCAGTAGGAAGCCAATTTCATTATCTTCAAAGAGGTAGCCAGAGATTAACCACTAGCAGTGGTTCTCCTACTTTCTGTGCATGACTGTAAAGTAATCACAAATAATCACGCCCTCCAACTTCATCAATTATTTTCTATTATGTGGATTGATACCCATTTTTGTCTTTGTTGTTTAATGATAATGGCAGTGCTCATGCTGGGGAGTGCTAATTGGAAGGTGTTACATTCGGTGGGCTCTCGGCCTAATTATTAGAGCATCTTCTTCATTAGCACTCGATCCTACCAGGGTTGCATGGTGGGAGTTACTAATTTTTCCAAGTTACAAGCATATTATACCAGGAAACTTTTGCATGTTCTTATGCCAAGCAACACACAGAAAATTTTATATCTGGTCGATGTTTATACCACTGACAGAGACTTTCTGTTTAAATAAATAAAACAGGATGTTTTGACCAAACATGAGTCTTTGAACACGAAACCTGCTCCTGACCTATAAGCTGGGTCTGCTCAGGACTATCGATGAGCTTTCATTTCTGCTTTGTTTCTGCCATTTACCTACCAATACTCGTTCCTTCAGATCAACTTATACAGCCCCCTGGGATCATTATCATACAAAGCTCTCTGTGGAGCTTTGCCAGCTATCATTAGAAACATTATGAAATGAGTTTAAAAGTTTCAGTGGTTGGGTGATATCTCTCCACACAGACTTAGGAGGAAAGTAAATACCCACCCTGTTTCATATTTGTGCAGGGCTGCACAACTTCTCAAATCTCTGTCACATGTTTTGGTTCACAATATCCTTTAACAGTGGTGAGACTGGCTGCTGGTATACCTGCTGTTGTCCCAGAAATTCCTATGGCACAAAACCTCATGTCCAGCTTAGTCTCCAGCGCATTCACCTGCATCCTTTTCCATAGCATTGCACAGTTCTTTATGAATGTGACTACATAGGCTGACCCTTAAATCAGAAAGGACATCCGCAGGACTCTTAATCCCTCCCAGGCAACCAAGGCCCCATATCTAACTAGACCCACAACTAAACAAAGGCATTGCAGGCAGCAATCTCAAGTGTACTGGACTATGGAGCAAGTTTTTGGAACAGATTCAGGAGAGAAACTTGCAAAAGAGAGAGAAACATTGGGTGTCGTTGAGAGAGTATGGGTTTTGGCTAAGCCTATGGTACAAGTAATCAAGTGTTTAATAAGAGGCATCATTATGGAAACAAAACATAAACATCCTGGTTTCAGAGTTCTGAAGGCACACAAAAGATTTCCAGATGATCGTGTTGTATCATCTTCAGATGAAGGAGAGGCGGGCAGTTACACCAATAGATTCTCTAGTCTGCAGGATGAATGTCTGGTGATCTTTCTGCTGCAGCCAGGAAGGTGGCCTGTGTGTGAGCTGTTGTGATTTCTTTGAAGTCTGTATTAAGTTGTCCTGCTTTACCTTGCATGGTATTGGGAAACGGGCAGTTTTAGTTCTCAATGATTCCAAGTCAAAGGATGGGGAAATGAAAATGTTAATTTGAAGGGTTATAGCCAAATATATAAGTAAACTAGAAAAATTCAGTATCCAGTCTAGTTTATAAGTAGAAAATAAAAAAAACCTAAAAAAATAATAAACAGCACCAGAAACTAGAATCCACAAAGGCATATTATAATTTCTATTGAAACAATTTTTTTTCTCTAAAATCACCCCATCTTAACCAAAATTAACCATTAAATTAAGACCAGTTTATTTTGCAAAATAAGTCTAGTTCCCATCAACTTGGTCTGATCATTTGTATAAGCCCAGTGAGAATAGTAATGAACCACTTAAGCTCCTTTAAATCTGCTTGGCTTGAATTTTTCATAAGGAATCTTCAGATTGAACTTAAAAAGGCCTCTCGAGGCCAAGAAGCCAAGCCATGCACATGCCATCAGACTTCACCCATATCACCTACGTATTTGTGGTTAACTCCTCTCGAGATGTACAACCTGTGCTGAGGTTCTTTCTTTGCATCTTCCAGTAAGCAACTTTGAGCCCTTGTCTGCATGCCTTGTTTAGCTGACTTGTCACTTGTCTGGCTCTGCTTACTTGTAAAGAAGACATTTCATAGGGCATTGACCATACACTTCAAGATCCCAACCTTATTATGATACAGGCTTTAAGAGGTGGTTTACCAATGCTTGGCTGCTGAATCCAAAAGTTTTGTTTCTATCTCTCACACCCTTCTCATCCAGTTGGCTAATGCCTTTGATGAGAAAAGCACCCCACTCTCCCATCTCCAACCTTATTGTTCTGCTTCACCATGGCTACCACCATGCTATTGTTGCAAAATTAGAAGATGAAGATTTTTATTTTGTTTTATTTTTTATTTCTTTTGCATGGAATAAGGATATGTTCAAGCTGGACATAATAGAGACAGTTACCAACCTTCAGTAGCAGCTCCATTTTGTTAGGGGCTAGCCAAGAGAGCATGTGTGTGGTCCTTGAGAGCGAATACGAACACTTTTAGTAAAAAGGCAACCTGCAAGTAGCCCCTGGGGAATGAAGCAACCCTAAAAGACATTTTCTTCAACACTCAAAGGTAGGAATCAAATTCAACATGCTTTATTTATTGGTATTTAATATCTATATATGATAATGTTACCATAAAGTTAACCCTTATGACCCTTTTTTTTACCTTTTTTTATTGATGTTTGAATACAGTTGTCTCCATTTTTCAACCACTATGTTTCCCCACCCTACCCATGCCCACCTCCCACCTCCCACCCTCACTCCCACCCCACCTTGGCTCCATCCACAGGTCCCTCATTCATGTTCATTTACATCCCTTTCCCTTCTTTCCCACATTATTTCCCTCTCCTCTCTCCTCTGGTTACTGTCAGTTTGTTGTCAATTTCATTGTCTCTGGCTATATTTTGTTTGCCAGTTTGTTTTATTAATTAGGTTCAACTTATAGGTGTGATCATAAGGTATTTGTCTTTCACTGCCTGGCTTACTTCACTTAGCATAATACTTTCCAGTTTCATCCATGCTGTCATGAAAGGTAGGAGTTCCTTTCTTTCTGCTGAGTAGTATTCCATTGTGTAAATGTACCATTGTTTATTGCTTTATGACACTTTTTAATTCAGGTTGTCTGGTATTATATTAAGGATATGAAAATGAAGAGGATACAGTCCTTGCCTTCTAAAGTTTAAACTCAAATATATTATTTCTTAATGGTGACCCTGTTTTTGAGTGTTTCATGGGTGAGCAAGAGAAAGCCACAGTAGAGATTTTAGATGGCTTTCAGTGTTTTGAGGGATAAAGGAAGTTTAAAAACTAAATAATCTGATCAAATATTATGAAATTTTCTGAGATTACTGTCTGGGACTTCAGGGTAAAAATAGCTAACTACATGGCTTTAAACAAAGATTAGTGATAAAAGTAGGTGGGACTAGCTACGATATATGAAAATAAATCTTGATAAAATTAAGGAAACTACTAATATATTTTTAGGGGCATTCATTCTATCAGTCAAGTCAGCCATTATTTATTCTTGTAAATATGATCTTGCTAGTACTTAATATTTTCAGTAGTTTATATAAGAGATAAGAACTAATCATGTAAACACCAGACTCACATACTGTTCATTTCCATGGGAAGAACTAGTTTCTGAATCAAACACAAAGATTAGCAGAGGGCCTCAGAAATGAGGCCAGTACAGAGAGTGTCCTCAAGTGAAAACTTTACACCTACAATGCTATTCTCCCATTTTGTCATCTTCTATCAATTTTAATGTCTTATGTCTCATCAGAGAGCACTTATATGCTGACATGTTCCCTCCTGGTGCAAGATGCCAGCTACTAAAATATAAATCACTGCAGAGAATTGTTGGATTTAGAGCCAATTCTTCTAATCGAAAACAACAGCAATGTTAATTTCAGCTTGAGAATGATGGCTTTTGTATGGTGATATAATGGTACAGACTATAATGGTGTCAACTACCGCAATAAAATATGCTTCAAATGGGCTACCTTTTTTACATTTAGACTAGGATGACTTCTGTCACATTTCTCTTTTTGGCATGGAAACTGACAATCTATTAAATAAATATTAATCCCTAGCAGTCTTCAAAGCAGGCTCATCCATATCAGGATTTTAAATAACTTCATTAATTACTTAACTACCTTTTCCCTAAATTCCTAAGGGATCTTTTGATGCTCATGCCTCTAATGAGTTACCAAGTGATTCATGACTTCAACCTGTTATCATGCAAAATACATTTCCAGTTGGAAATCTTTACAGATGGTTTTGCCAGAAAGCAAGTAACCGCTCTAGGTGGTCAAGAGGCAAATTTCATTTATGCAGTGTATAAAGAAACATGATTACATTTAACATCAGAACTCTAATGTCTCCAACAATTCAATTTGGGCAATACATGACCAAACGAGGAATTCCATTTGAGTGATAAAATACAACCTGAATGATCTGTGGGTGAATTATCCATTACTATAGAAGTAGCTATGGCTAGTTTTTAACTTCCCTGAAAATTTTCATATCATCTATCCTACCTTTAAAAGTAAACATTGAAAACACAGAATTTTTTTATTAACCAAGATGAGGCACAACTGAGAAAAGAATATATTTTTCAAAAGCCATGTATCTGTTTCTCTCCCCTTGAAAGATATTCAGGCACTGAGTATTTTTTTTTAATTTTAATAAAATTTATTTTATAATATACATATACATATTTATTTGAAGTATTGTAACTGGGAGAATTATCAGTCCCTCCATTCTGTCACATTCTGGACTGGCTACTCTCTTGGAGTAATGCTGAGCCACCATGTTAGGATTTCCTTTTGCTTCTGCCCTGTGTTAAGTCTCCAGTTTCCAACTTTGTGCAAGCTAAATACACAAGGAGGTCTAAAAGAAAGTAGTCTTCCTTTTAACCTTCTTTTACAGGAAGATATCTTTGAGCCTGAGGCCTCATTAGAGATTATACCTTCTATTGTCTGGAAAGATAGTTCAAGGGTAATTGCTTAACTCAAGCAATCCTCTTGTTTATAGTCCCTCTCTTTACTTTCCCCTTCATTCCCTGATGTCTCCAAATCACAAGCCTTTCTGGGATTCTCTGGTATGAATCATTCCACTTTCCTGGAACATGCAGATTTCGACTCTATCTTCCCAACATTAGTGGCACTGGCTTCTCTCTCTCTGTCTGTGTCTCTGTCTCTGTCTCTGTCTCTCTCTCCCTATCATGTGTGTGTGCGCGCACGTGCACGCACGTGTGTGTGGATGATGATGGTGACCACTGTCACTTTAGGAGTGTTAAGGTCTAGAGCAGTGATAAACATTTGTTTAGTCAGCCATGATTACTAGATATTGGCAATCATCTAGCCTTGTCTTTTTGCCAGAAATTTGGGGAGTCAACAACCGGTAGATTTAATTTGAACACAAAAATTTTCAATCTATATGATCGAAATGCCAATATTTCTTTTTAAATGGATCTTGAGAGTATTATGCTAAGTGAAATAAGTCAGACAGGGCAAGAACCAAGTAATTTCATCCATATGTAGGATATAGAACAAAAAGTTACAAGTGAACCAACAAAACAAACAAATACAAGCTCATAGACACAACAGAAGGATGGTTACCAGAGGGGAGGGGCATGGGGAGGACAAAGAGGTCAAGGGGTCAAATACTTGGTGACTCAAGGCAACTAACTCTCAGATGGTGAGCACGCAGTAGAGTGTACAGATGTGACACCCAAAATTCATACGTTATTAACAATATTACTCCAATAATATTTTTAAAAAAGGAAAACACAAAAAAACAAAATAAAAGTAAAAACTTCTTTAAAAAAAAGTTGCAGTCGTATAGCTCCTCAGAGCCATGGCAGGTCCACAGAACTCCCCTGGAGACCCACCAGGAGGAAGGAGGGAAAAAAGGCTGCTAGTGTGTGGAACTTGGGGCTTCCAATCCCATGGCCACCCAAAACCTGAGAAGTTTCATTTGTACCTGTTCCAGATATTATATTTTGTATTAGATTATAAGTGAAAAAAATTTCAAAGGTACAAAATGTTTGAACCCAATTAAAATCAAAATACAATGAAGCATAGACCATCAAGATCTCTAGAGAATGAGTGGTGGAGTTTTACTTGGCTACCGCAGCACCACCCTGTATGAGCAGAAATGCTTGTTTCAATTGTCCTTTCTTTGCCGTCCCTTCTGCACAGGCCCCAGGGCAGGCGTCTGGGCTGGCATGCAGGGACAGTCACAGAGGGGGTTCTTCATACCGTGCGGAGATGTCGAATTGGGACACAAAGTAGTGGAGGAGTTCCTCAGATTACAAAGCTGCTCTTGATAACGTGTGCATTGTATCTCCCCCCTCTTTTTACTCCTTCTCTTGTGTTCTTCACTCTTGCAACAGCTTATCCAGATGTTCATTTTTTTTGCATTAACTGTCTAGCATATTCACATACCACAATCAAATAATTCTTTTATCTCATATGGTAAATTGTTAATTAGCCCACATTCCCCCTATATCATCAGATACTTCTATGTAATCAGTGTTCACTGAAAGGTCAACATATAGAGCCATTTCAAAACTGTATTTTCAAAAACCTAGACTTTTTTTTTTATCAGAGACTAATTAGTGATATGGGAAAATAGTTCCTATATGTGCCCTTTTTCATAAAGAACAAACACAGAGGTAGGTAAACACTTTATTTTGCAAAGCAGCAAATCTATGGCTTTCTTGTTGGGAGTGTTATCGTTAAGGAAAAAACAAGCAGTTCCCATTCATAAGTCAGTTCTTTCTCCCTCTCTGGTCAACATCAGAACCCACCTGTATCTGTGATATTTGAAAGGCAAAGAACTTATTTCTGATTCAATTTTTGGCCAACTGTTTTAAATCTCATGTTTATTTTTTTATTTTTAATAGGAAATGAGAACATACTTTTTAATGGTAAGTTCTCACCCTCCTCCCCCATGGCCATGGCCCTCGTCCCTCAGTCTCACTGAGCTTTCAGTCTCATACAGGAGCTCTCCCCCTACTGCAGTCACTGGAGGATGCCGGATTAAATTCTCACAAACACGGAACAGATTACAGTAGTTTAACCCAGAAGTTTTATTCCCCCAGTCAAGAGTTTCCTCAAATAGTCTTCCAGCATCAGCATTACTTTGGACTGGGCTTCCTAACCCTGCTAACAGCCCATGGCATGGCTCTCTTCCCACATGCCCCATGCATCCGCTTCTGTGCTTTTGGTCTTGTCATCCTGCCCACTCAGAATGCCCTGGTCTCTCATTCCGTATCAGAATGGTTCCCATTGTTTAAAATTTAGCTCAAATTTTTTAAAAAAACTTTAAACTACAATTGACATTCAATATTTATATTAGTTTCTGGGCTACAGTACAGTGGTTACATATTTAAATAACTTACCAAGTGGTCCTCCCAGTAAGTCCAGTACCCACCTGGCACTGTACACAGTTATTACAATATTGTTGACTGTATTCCCTATGCTGTACTTCACATCCCTGTCACTATTTTTTAACTTTTTAATTTAATCTTTATTGCATTTTTTACCTTACCTTTTTGTCCCT